GATGTATCTTCATCCACCTGAACAGATTTTCTGAATTATACAATCAGAAATAAACGTGAATCAGTAAGACAAATTTCGCAATCTCTATGCTCATAGAGCAGATCTGATTTGATCTTTACGTGTGATGTTAAGAACAAATGGAAGAGACTGCGTTGTGGTCAATCGTGCTGCCTTATCCCTTAACAAGCGTATTACCTTTTTTCGTTGACTTTGAGATTCTATCATCTTAAACTCCAGCGGACACGGACAGAACTTCGCATTAGCGCCTGGCTCACCAACTGAACCCTTTGGACCACGTCGTCCGAAACTACCTTTTAGACCATCCATGCCATCCGGGCCTGGCTTACCATCAGGACCGGGCCGTCCATAGATAAAGTTTCGCTTACCTGAATAATGACAATGATAATCAATGCAGAACAGGTGATAAGTAATGATAATAGTACGAATGACAATCGAAATCGTTGCAATATTAATGTTTCAATCACAATAACCACGACGACAGTACCAACAATAGCAATGTTCATAATGATAATGACGATAACAATAATACTGAATATGATGAGAATAACTGGAATAAAATTACAAATCGTCAACAATGACCTCGTTTTCCTTGTGGGCCAGTTCTTCCGATTGGTCCTGGTAAGCCTTTCGGACCTGGTTCACCCGTTCCACCGGGAGCTGATCGGCCTGGCGGACCTTTGGGTCCTGGTCTTCCGTTGGTACCATTAAAACCTATCGGTCCTTCTTCTCCAATATCACCTTCAATGAGACAAGTCAATAAAATTACCGCATCATACACCCTACATATAGGCCATCATGCGGAATTGATTCCTCCCATCATCGGTAGTCATATAACGCAGGAATGTCATACTGCTCGTGAAACGTTAGAATCGCCCCTATGGCACTGATTAACGAAAAATTTCCTAATTGTAAATGGAGACGTACACCATAACATTACGATAATCAATAGAAATTCATCACCGTTTCTTCACGATTCACTCAATTTCGAAACTATCAGTTGTTCGAAATGGCAGATTTAAACGTATTCAGTTGTTTTTGCATAAGTTGAATACAACGTACCATCCCGTCCGTCAAAACCTGGTATTCCAGGATATCCCTTATCGCCTTTCAGTCCTCGAATACCACGATTTCCGGGCGCTCCAACCGGTCCAACTCGGCCCTGCGGACAGACGATGCATTTTTGACTGAGTTGTGCGACGATATCACGTTCATCTAAACCGCGACGCCCTTCGGGACCATCATCACCTGGCTCGCCATCCTCTCCATCATCACCTTCAATTTTCACATTTTTTTCGCTTTTCTTCAGTTTCGCACAAACTACTTTTGAAGGAATTCCACACAATTTCCTTCATAGTCTAATGAGCTTTCACGAAAGTTTCGCTAAGAAAAGCATACCAGCTGGACCGGGTGGGCCGGGCTCATATGGCTCACAAAGTGGCAGAACTGATCGTTTGAATCGTTGAGATTCACGACGCATCAGAGTGAGTTGAACATGGGCACGGTCAGAGAGAAGCTATAACAAATAGTTTCAAAGAAATTTTTAAAGACTCTGAAACAACTAAAATTAGATGTTGCAATTAGTTTCTCGGCTTCTACAGCTTATAGTTGGACGCAAACACCTTGGGAACTCCAGAGTTTAGAACGGTGGAAAAACACACCATTGTGATATCTCAGTCCATTATTGATCAAAATGGTCATTGTTAAAATAACTCGAATACTGAAACTTCCAGGTGGGAACTAGAAATGGCAGAACTTTCAGCAGTGAATGATTGCTTCAAGAAGTCAGTGATGAGATATTAACACACCATGAACTTATCGACATGATTTTGAATGTTCGATCGTATATGACTGCTTCGACGGAATATCAACGGTAGAAATGTTAGCTGGGCGATGAGTGTGGTGGCACACAGGAGGAATGTCACGAATGAGGCTGCCTCGTAGAACATTTCGGCCTTAGCAAAGTAAGAACCGATGAAGGCGTTTTGTAACTGAGCAGTTGAGTTCTGAAATGCTCACTGATAAGAAATGAGATCACTGAAAAATAGGAAAAAAAGTAACGTTCGTATTTATTAAGTGGTCGATGCGATTTCTGATTCAGTCATGAGGTGTGATAATTCCGACTGGAAATGTTGAATCAATGATTGCCTGAGACTAAACTCCAGCCTGTTGATTGGAAAGATTCTGCATGTGATCAAGAAGCGAAGCATGATCAAGATTCAGGACCAAAGCTTTCTTTGCCTCACCCTAATTTCTCCCCATTTCCTAGAGCTCATACCACTTTTTTTGTGATTGACATGAAAAATTCAAGATGAAATGAACTAATAAAAATTGATAAGAGAGGATTGATACGAGACACGTCGTCAAGCAGGCAGTGGATTAAGATGCCCATCTGTTTCCATTACAATGTTTGTCCCAAAAATGGTTCGTTCACATACGAAGGAAATGATGACCTAATTCATTATTGTAAAAGAATGAAGTGATTGTTTTATATGTATCGTTAATATCGTGAGTGTAAAAAGAACAAGGCGATTGATCGCGTAATCATTTGCAAAATGTTGAGTTGAAATATTGAATCGGACTTTTGAGTTTTGCGGAAATTATCCTCATTT